ATGGCAGGACTTGGAAGGGCAGACCAGTCACTGAGGCAGGGAATCCTCCTACTCAGCTCCTGTTAACCCTGCAAGCCAAAGCCGTAACGGGTAGGATGGTCCTGACTGGACAAACAGCAGGAAAGCTGGCCAGACAGTGATATCAATGGCAAGCTATGCGGTTTTAGCTGGTTAGACTCCGCAGTTACCCCAACACACACTCTGGGGTCCCCAAGCCTTGGATTTTGCCAACCTGCACCTAATACTTTCTGGAATTGCATTAGCAAGATGGCTCATTCTGGGGAGAGAGAGAGTGCGCAATCCATTCCAGACAGCGATTTCTTTGTGTGGGTAGCAAACACATGTGGAACTCTCAACTTGGCCATTAGGAGGCACAATTGATTTTTTTTCCCTTTATTATCTCTGTTTCCTTTGGTCAGCCGGGTGTCTGACATAATCGGAAACCCATCACTGTGCTTAAAAATCTCCAAGCCATGCTGAGAATCCTCATACACCTACACATGGAAATTTCCTTGTCTAGAACAGAATGCACACTCTCTTTCTGGAGGGACATATCCTGCTTACCTAATTCCGCAGAGTATTAGGAACAGCTTGGCAAGGCTCGGGGACCCCAGAGTGTGCATGGGTTAACTACTGGAGTCTAATCAGCTGAAACTGCCTGGCTTACGATTGAGAGCACTGTCTGGCAAGCTTTCCTCCTGCTTGTCCAGCTAGGACCACCTCACCTGTGAGGGCTTTGGATAATGAGCTGGGTGGGAAGACTCCCTGGTCCCAGTGACTGGTCTGCCCTTCCAAGTCCTGCCGATGAGCCAGGCTGGGCTGTACTGTCATCAGCAGTGCCCTGGAATACTGCGGACCTGCCTGGCTCATGAATCGGAGCCAGATTCTCTCCGAGGAGACCTGACTTACCCCCCCACTCCCAACCCGAGAAGCTTGATACCATGCAAGATAAAGGATTATTATTATTGATCTCAGAGGCTGAGAACTGCTATTTGATGTCACACCTAATCACAGCATCAAATTGTTTCAAAGCGCTTCACAGGATTTACTATTAACAGCGCCTTGGGATGTCCTCCCAATGTGAAAGCGCTATAAAATGTAATGTTTTTGTTGTGTAGTTAGTGTAGCAGCAAATTTACATATAGGTATAACACACAAACATCCATGAAGTGAATGATTAATTTTATCAGGGGATTGTTAGCCAGGACACTGGGACAGGGAAAATCTCTTCCTTTTTTGAATAGCACTACAGGATCATTGATGAACAGGCACAGATGGGACTTAAATTTGAAGTTGTTTCTTTCCAGTTTTGCTCCTTCCTTTCCCGCCACTCCCTTCACAAACCCCTCTAATTGGATTTCTGTGCCGCCCACAGCACAGAAACAGCCCTAGTCAAAGTGACAAATTACATTTTGTCCATCTGCGACCAGGGCTCCCTCTGCCTTCTCGTCCTCCTTGACCTCTCTGCTGACTTCGATACCATTGACCACTCCTCTACGTCCTCTCCTCTCACTTTAACCTTCATTGTTCTGTCCTTCAATTCCTACCTCACACACATCTCCACTACATCTCCATAAATAGCTTCTCATCTAGCCCCCTCACCGAGACTGTCCATGGTCCCCTCCTTTTCTATATATATTTATGCTTCCTCTTGGTGACATCATCCGGAGACAAGGGGTCAACTTCCACATGTATGCGAATGACACCCAAAGTTATCTCTGTACAAAAACAGAAGTCGCTGGGAACACTCAGCAGGTCAGGCAGCATCTATGGAGAAAGGAAAGTCAGTCATCACGATCCTGGTCCTCACTTTCAAAGCCCTCCATGGTCGTGCTCCCCCCTATCTCTGCGACCACCTGACCCCTACCAACCTGCCTGCTCCCCCTGCTCAGTGGGCTCCAGTCTGCTTCACCATTGGCGGGTGGGCCTTCAGTCACTTTGCTGCCACCCCCTGGAGCTCCACCCCACAGTCCCTCCACCTCGCCCCCTCCCTTGTCTTCTTCAAGACCCATGTCAAGAACCTCCTCTTCAACCGTACCTTTGGTCACCTTCCTTTCCACCCTCCCCAATCCCAACCCCCTGCTCGGGCCCGCAACACTGATTGTCCAGCGCCTTGCGATGGCTTCCTTCCCAATGTGAAAGGCGCTCTACAATGTAATTTTGTTGTTGTTAAGTTGAATGTATCATCCGAAGGATAGCACATCTGACGATGCATTCAACCTAGACTGTGAGCTCACAGTTCAGAGTTCAAACATGGCGCTTGAACCCACAACTTTCTGACTCTGAGGCAAGAGCGCTTCCGACTAAGCCAGGCTGACACATGAAGAGTCTGATCAAGATTGACTCTCACCAATATTCTGGATAGTTCCTTCTGATGTGACATTAAACCGAGGTCTGTCTGCCTGTTCAGGGGACATTAAAGATCCCATGGTACTGCTCGAAAAGAGACAGGAGTTTCTCTCTCCCAGTGTCCTGGCCAACAATCCCTCAAATAAAATCAGTCATTCACCTCATGGCTGTTTATGGGACGTTGCTGTGCACAAATTGGCTGCCATGTTTGTCTACAAAATACACAATCACTGCACTTTATAGTAAAATTCTATGAGGTTCTTTGAGATGCTCTCCGAATGTGAAAGGCACTGTATCAAATGTCACCTCTCCAGGGAGAGAGTGCACATTCCATTCCAATAAACATCTCAAGTTTTTTCATGTGT